CATTTAATAAAGTAGACCACAACGTACTTCTTGCTAAGCTAGAAAAATGTGAAATACACAATATCACCACTAGGTGGATTTGTAGCTGGCTGACAAACTGTACTCAACAAGTAGTCACAAAGGTTCTTTTTCAAGAGGCAACCGGACTTACCAGAAAGTCCAGCTGCCTCTTGGAAAAGCACCTTTGGTAAAAACCATGACCTGGATGACTAGGAATCTCCATAGACATTCCACAAGTAGTCCTTAATGGTACTACATATACATGGAGGGAAATAAGCAGTTGGGTACCACAAGGTTCCATTTTAGGCCCAGTACTCTTCAATATCTTTATAAATGATTTAGATGAGGGAATAGAATAGAATAAGTTTTTTTTTTTTTTTTGGCCAAGTGGGATTGGACACACAAGGAATTTGTCTTGGTGCTGGGTGAGATCATCCGTGGTTTTGGGGTGAGAGTCCATCAGTACGCTGATGACACTCAGCTGTACATCTCCACCCCAGATCACCCCAACGATGCCCTTGATGTGATGTCTCACTGCCTGGAGGCCGTGCGGGTCTGGATGGGGAGAAATAGGCTCAGACTCAACCCTTCCAAGACCGAGTGGCTGTGGCTTCCGGCATCCTGATATAGTCAGCTGGTGCCATCGCTGACTATTGGGGGTGAATCGCTGCCCCCCACAGAGAGGGCTCACAATCTGGATGTCCTCCTGGACGCACAACTGTCTTTTGAAGAGCATATGACGGCCGTGCCAGGGGGGCTTTTTATCAGGTTCACGTGATTCGCCAATTGCAGCCCTTTCTGGACCGGGACGCCTTGCGCATGGTCACTCATGCCCTTGTCACCTCCCGGCTGGACTATTGTAATGCTCTCTACATGGAGCTCCCCTTGAAGAGCACTCGGAGGCTCCAACTGGTCCAGAATGCGGCCGCGCGGGTGGTTATGGGCACAACCCGTTGTGCCCACGTGACACCCCTCCTGCGCGAGCTGCACTGGCTCCCAGTGGTCTTCCGGGTGCGATTCAAGGTGTTGGTTACCACCTTTAAAGCGCTCCATGGCATAGGATCCGGGTACCTTTGAGACCGACTTCTGCCACCAGTAGCCTCCCACCGGCCAGTTTGCTCCCACAGAGAGGGTCTCCTCAGGGTGCCATCGGCCAAGTTATGTCAGCTGGTGACACCCAGGGGGAGGGCCTTCTCTGTGGGAGCCCCAGCCCTGTGGAATGAACTGCCCCTGGAAATGCATAAGATCTCCGACCTCAGGGTATTTCGCTATGCCCTAAAGACCCTGCTGTTCCGCCAGGTCGGGCTATCAATGTAATGATTTTAAATTGGATGTGTTAAATTTTGGGGGGTTTTAATATTGAGCCGAAATTATTTAATAATTTTAAATAATTTTAATTGTTGTTTGTCTTTGTGCTTTTAATAGGCTGTACACTGCCCTGAGTCCTTCAGGAGAAGGATGGTATAGAAATAAAATAATAATAATAATAATAATAATAATAATAATAATAATAATAATAATAATAATAATAATAATAATAATAATAATAATTATTATTATTATTATTATTATTATTTGCTTTCAGTGTACATAAAAGAAAAGATACATTCACCAAGAATCATAAGGTACAACACTTAATGATAGTCATAGGGTACAAATGATACAAGCAAAAAATTACAGTCATACAGTCATAAGTGGAAGGAGATGGGTGGTGGGAATGATGAGAAGATTAATAGTAGTGCAGATTTAGTAACTAGTTTGACAGTGTTGAGGGAATTATTTGTTTAGCAGAGTGATGGCATTCGGGAAAAAACTGTTCTCGTGTCTAGTTGTTCTGGGGTGCAGTGCTCTATAGCGTCATTTTGAGGGTATGTCCAGGTTGTGAGGGGTCTGTAAATATTTTCACAGCCCTCTTTTTGACTCATGCAGTATACAGGTCCTCAATGGAAGGCAGGTTGGTAGCAATTGTTTTTTCTGCAGTTCTAATTATCCCCTGAAGTCAGTGTCTATCTTGTTGGATTGCAGAGCCAAACCAGACAGTTATAGAGGTGCAGATGACAGACTCAATAATTCCACTGTAGAACTGTATCAGCAGCTCCTTGGGCAGTTTGAGCTTTCTGAGTTGGCGCAGAAAGAACATTCTTTGTTGTACTTTTTTGATGACGTTTTTGATGTGAGCTGTCCATTATCTTGTGATATGGTAGAATCTAGAAATTTGAAGGTCTCTATTGTTGATACTGTGTTGTCTAGTATTGTGAAAGGTGGAAGTACTGAACACACTCAAAACCGTAGAAATGATGGTAGACATTAAGAGAAACCTAATGTCTACCATCATTTCTACGGTTTTGAGTGTGTTCAATTCCAGATTGTTCCAATCACACCACGAGACTAGTTGTTCAACCTCCCGTCTGTATGCGGATTCATCATTGTCTCAAATGAGACTGATCACTGTTGTAGAAGGGGAACTCATCAAATTTGCAGGTGACATTAAGCTGGCAGGAATAGCCAACATCCCAGAAGACAAGCTCAGGATCCAAAAAGATCTTGACAGACTTGAACAATGGGCTCTATCCAACAAAATAAATTTTAATGTGGAGAAAAGCAAAGTTTTACATTTAGGCAGGAAAAGTCAAAGGCATAAGTACAGATTAGGTGAGACCTGGCTCAAAAACAGTAACTGTGAGAAGGATCGTGGAGTACTAGTTGATGACCACTTGAATATGAGCCAGCAGTGTGCGGCAGTAGCCAAAAAAGCTAATCCTGGGTTGTATAAACAGAGGCATAGAATCAAAGTTACGTGAAGTATTAGTACCACTTTATAAACCTTATTTCCTATACCATGCATAATTTTATACCTTTCTATCATGTTAACTCTCTTTGCTTCAAATGAAAAAGCCCTAGATGCTACAGGTAGTCCTCGATTTGCAACACAACTGAGCTGAAAATTTCTCTTGCTAAGTGAGACAGCTGTTAAGTGAGTGTTGCCCCATTTTATGACCTTTCTTGCCACAATTCTTAAGTAAATCACAGCAGTAGCTGTTAAGTGAATCTGGCTCCCCCCTTGACTTTGCTTGTCAGAAGGTTGCAAAAAAGTGATCACATAACACCAGGACATTGCAACTGTCGTAAATAAATGCCAGCTGTCAATTGTCCAAATTTTCATCATGTGACTATGGAGATGCTGCAATGATTGAAAGTGTGAAAACTGATCATAAGTCACTTTTTTCGTTGCCTTTATAACTTTGAGCAATAACTAAATTTTGTAAATTATACAGGACTGTCTGTATTATTTTTGTCTCATGGAATTGTTTTGACCATTTTAAACCACTGGCATCTGCTTGACCTTCCTTAAAGTAGTTTAATCTAAAGTTGGACCAGAAACTGTTCTGTCACTGAGGAGACTAGGAAAAAAAAACTGATCAAGGGCCATCTACAGTAGGTGTTTGGTCAAGCAGATAGATTTTCCTGTTGTAACCTGATTCTGAGCAGATTACAGTACATTTTATCTAGACGGAAGCAGATTTTATCTTAATTGGTGGCAGAACAGCATTGGATTTAGCTCTGAAGAGCCTTCAGGTGCAAACCTTTGAATCACTTTTTCCCCCAGAAATTTTTAGTTTATTCAAAGAAGGTTAAAATACAAAACATCAAAATATTTAAAAAAGGATAAAAAAATAAAAAACACAACAAAGACATTAAAAAGTAAAACTGTCTTAAAAAAAGAAAAAAGACTAATTTATACACATATTCTTTTTCTTTTTTAAAAAGACACCTTTGAATCTGCTTCAACAGATACAACAATGATGGTAATAAACTAATTTACCCCCCAGCAACCCAGTTTGATAGTGATACCTCAGTTGGCATTTACAAAAGTAGTTGCCTTTAAAACTTGATGCACACACATTCTGATTTTCTCCTCTTTGCTTTGTGATGAATCTTGTGCTGTTGTTTGTATGTGTGTCTTGGCAGTGTTCTGTGTTCTAGAAAGAAAAGAGACTGCTATGATTCTGTGCTTAGGCTTCATAATCCATCCAATAATTTATATGAAATTTGTCCAATCTGAATATACATATAGGAAAATGGCAATAGTCATTGGCCAGTAAATAAGAATCATTGTGTACTGTAGAAAATAACTTTAACAGATAAATCTTCTAAGTAATATTTATGGTTCTAGTTGCTTAAAGAAAATGCTATGTCCTTACTTTGTGTAAAATGACAGGTTTAAAATATTAAGGTAATAATATAATAAATTAATATTATAATAACATTATAATAAATTTTCAACAAATGTATTTTTAGTAAGTTGTAGCTTTTCACTTAAAACCTTCAATGTATCTAGTGCATTTTTTGCCCACTGCTTCAAAATCATTTTTAAAACTCTGCTGTTTTGGATTAAAATAAGCTTTTTATTGGTTACTTTTTTGAGATCCTTCAGAAAAGGACAATGCTATAGCTTAGGAGTCATAAGGAGTCAAGCAATCATATTTGTCAGCCACTTCCTGTGCAGTTGAAGAAAAATATTATTTGAACTGCAGATGCCTTTAGGCAGGACCTCATAATGCTGTTGTGGTTAAGTCTATTCATTCTCTGTAAATTTATAGTTACATAAACTGACAGAAAATGAATAGATATACAGTTTATAGACGTGATGCTATTCTGTGCATCCGAGTTGGTGACTCCTCTTCTCCACCCAAGGCCACTTGGCAGAAATCTAGGCAGTGAGTCTTCCATTGGAGAAAGCTGTTGGGGAAATACCAACAGGAAGACAGAGCTGTATTTTTCTTTGGAATGTGGCCTTTCTTTTAGCATAAAAATACTTCCCTCTTGAGTGCAGTACTTAAGATTTTAATCAGTTCACATTTTAGTAGTTTCACAACAACAAAACAGTTAAAGTAGATTCACCCCCTAGATACATCTTACCCTTTCTTCCTTTTCCCATGTGCTGTTTCAGTAAATTTTAAATGCCTTCCATACCTGTGATTACTCTTCTTTTCTTTCAGATCCAATAAGATTTTGAAATGTCCTTTATATTTGACTGGATTTACAGTGGCTTCAGTAGTGTACTGCAATTTTTAGGTAAGATATCCACAGTTCCATGCCAATGTTCTAATTTACATTCATGGATGGTTCTTTCTGATTTTTTTTACACAGTGCTGGTTAAACAACTTCATTTAAGTTGATGCAGATTGACTGATCTTTCTTATTTATTGATTTAGACATGCTAAAGGATACACGAACGAAACACTTGCGATTAAAATACACGAAAAACAAAGCTAATAGTTTGAGCTATTTGCAAAGTTACTTTTAATCTATACAGTATTTGGCAATTTGGCTTTTGAGTCTATCACAAAGAACACAATGTGACCTTCACTTTATTTTAGCACAGAAAACCCCAACCTCTTCCATTATTAATCTTGATCTATACTCGCCAACAGTCCATCATGTTAGTCCCCATTGCTGGTTTAATTTTTCTTTACATTTTGATGTGGCATGGCAGCTACTTTTTCCAAAGTATCTTCTCCCTTTTACCCCCGTATTCAGATTGTTGGGTTCATTAGTACATAAACCTGCTCCTGACGATTGCAATGAAGTGAGTCACAAACATACAAAACTGTTACAGTATCATGAGGGATATTATTCCCTACCTTTTGCTTTGTGAGTAACAAGGTGCTGGTAAACTGATTGAGGCAGGAGTTCTCAAATGGTGAGTTGTGACCAAATTAAAGGGAGTTGGCCATTTTTTAAAAAAAAATGTGACCAGTTTGCAGAGGCACAGCTTGAGTGTTGTCAAAACTCACTCTGGTCTTTGGTCCGTGCTTGCCTGTGTAAGCTTGCAAAGTTTGAGAACCCGGTGATACACAAGTACATAAAAGCAATATCTCAAACTTTACCCCAATGAAATAATTTTATTTATGGGGCAGGGGTATATCAATTCGCTTATCATTTTTAAGGCCTAATGCATGATTTGACTTGGTTAACAGTGGAGTCCTTGGATTAAAGAGTGGGGTGATGGAGAAAGACAAAAATATATCTGATAGATAATGTGAGATGAAGTAGCCTGGCAGCCTATAAATCTGGCAGTGCCTTTCAGAGACTTGTGCAGTGAGTCTAACCATCACATGAGTAGCTAGCAAGTAGCTACCTGCTTGCATGATGGTCAGACTCACTGCATGAATCTCTGGAAGGCACTGCCAGATAAACTGATTTTATCTTTCAGTGTCCACATTTGAGGATCAAAAAAAAGTTAATAGGACAGTTGTGGCAGGGCAATCAATGTCTTGCCCTTTTACTGATGTGTGGCTATTGTACACATGTACACAAGATGGAGCTTCAATCAATCACATCAAAGAGACTTTCTTGACAGATCTCTCTGCCCAGACATTGCTGTTCTGTACTCCCAAAAACCCTTAAACCAGAGATAACAGTAGAATCCTCAGAAAACTAAAATGTTACATTTTCATTCTTACTTCACAGAATCATTGAATAGTGACTGGCTACTCTTTTAAGGCTTATTTTCAAATCTCTGTATGGTTGGCTCAAGCATTCTGGGAGTTGAAGTCCACAAATCATAAAAGGGCCATCGTTCCCCACCCCTGATTTAAATAATCAGCATGAACTAGAAGAAACATGTTGGCGTTTTGGTTTCAGCATTCACCTATCATGTTTTAAGCAGTATCTTCCAGAGCAGTGCCTGGATATTTGCTTTTAAATTCTAAGAGTATATGGTGCTATACAGAATGCCTAGGTTTCGTCAAGAGGGACGCGGTGGCTCAGTGGCATATGTGCAAGGGGAACCTTTACCCTTACCTTAGGTTTCTTATGTCATTCTGGTGTGAGCTGAGAAAATTAATTCATGTTTACCGAACAGTCTCATTCTTTTTCAGGATTATACAAGAAAACAGGTAAACTAGTATTCCTTGGATTGGATAATGCTGGAAAAACTACTCTCTTGCACATGCTTAAAGATGACAGACTGGGACAACATGTCCCCACGTTACATCCCAGTAAGTCAATGTTTCTGTTTTAGTTTTGATGTATACTTAGCACTGCTTCAAAGCTGATGTATGTTATGTTAATTTTTATGCCACCGAAAAGCTTATGGGGCAGGGTATGAATTAAAATGGGTGGTGTTAGTTTCCAAAATTCTTGGTTGGGGAGGCACTTAGAGGATGCACCGACTCTATCTGAAAGTAAAACTTAGATGTTAAAGAGTAAAATCAAGTTATGTATTCTCTGTCAATCTTTGAAACATCTTTAAGCTGTAAGGGGACTATATTTTCATATGGTCTAGATTCAGTAACATATTAAAGAGTTAAACTTTCATTTTCCTTCCTTCCTTCCTTCCTTCCTTCCTTCCTTCCTTCCTTCCTTCTGTCCCTCCCTCCCACCCTCCCTCCCTTCTTTCTTTCCCTTTCTTTCTTTCTTTCTTTCTTTCTCTCTTTTCACTGCTGATAATAAAATTATTTTCATCGATGACAATTTCAAATACAAATACAAATATTAAGTGTGAAAGAAATCAAATAGTTGGAGGTTTATTAAATGTTTGCCATCACTTCTTATATAAGCATTTAAAAATATCTTATAACAGTAAAAATGAACTGTACAAATGTGCAAACTGTAAATATATTACAGTCAAAATTAGTCAAACATTAAAAACTTGATGAAGGAGTTGGAACAGTTATTTGTTTTTTTTTTTCAATTTGACTTGATTTGGCCCTGTAATGACATAGGCCATTAACCAAGCCAGTACTTAGCTGCTTTCAGAAATTCAAGGGGAAGATTTACTGAAAGACACTTTTTTAAAAAAAATTCATGTTTCTATAGCTTCTGAAGAGCTGACAATTGCTGGTATGACGTTTACAACTTTTGATCTAGGAGGACATGCTCAAGGTAAGAGAAGCAAACAGGCAAAATCCTCACAGAGGTATCTAAATGATGTTAGTTTAATCTTTGTTTGCTGTATTCCAAGGTGATCATACTGCAACTTTTTTTTCCAGTTCTGAAAATCTTTTTAATATTGTATTTGATTTTAAATTTGTTGTGTAGACATTGTTCTGATGCTTTTTTCTCATAATAAATGCACATATTAAGCGTAAGCCTTTGTATCCTTTCTATGGGTGAAGTCAACTTAAATGTTGTATCAATGCACCTTCATTGTTCTAACACTTTCCAGTCAAATTTCAACAATTCATTTTTATTTCTAATAATAATAGAAAGTACGATTATGATTGTTTTATGATTTTAATAAGATAAAATTATGCCCATCTTTGGTTTTTATTACATTTGAAATAAGACAAATTATTATAGGATTTGCTCTGCTGTTGAATATTAGAGTACCAGTAACTTAGTCCTCTTGTCATTTTTGCTTTGTATTTATATATTTATCAGCTTCGACTTTGGCTATCTAGTGGTCTCAAAATGGTGTTTTCTAGAGTACATGAAATATTGCTCCTGAAAGGGTGCACTATTTAATTTTTTTATAAGATGTATTAGTAATACAGATAGTCCTCGACTTACAACAGTTCATTTAGTGACCGTTCAAAGTTACGACACTGAAAATGTGACTTATGACTGTTTTTCACAGTTATGACCTTTGCAGCGTCTCCATGATCATGTGATCAAAATTCAGATGCTTTTTATTTTTACTTTTTTTATTTTTTTATTATTATTATTTATTTATATACCGCCCTATTCCCGAAGGACTCAGGCCGGTGAACAGCCAAAAAGATAAAACACACAAACTACAAAATTTAAAAGACAATATAAAACTCATTAAATAATTTGGCCCAAAACAAATTAAAACACCCCTAATGTTTTAAAACAAATTTACAATTTACAATTAAAAAGGAAGTTAGGCCAGGCCAGCCTGTTGAAATAAAAAGGTCTTGAGGGCACGGCGGAAGGTGCGTAAATCCGGGATCCTCCGTCTTTCCGGGGGAAGCTCATTCCAGATGGCAGGTGCCCCCACAGAGAAGGCTCTCCCCCTGGAGGCCGCCAGTTGACACTGTTTGGCCGACGGCACCCTGAGGAGCCCCTCTCTATGTGAGCATACTGGCCGGTGAAAGGCTACTGGTGGCAGAAGGCCGGTGAGAGGCTACAGGTGGCAGAAGGCAGTCCCGTAAGTACCCAGGTCCTAAGCCATGACAGCTGGTTCATATATATGATAGTTGATGTGTCCCAAGCTCATATTATCATCTTTTGCGGCCTTCTGACAAGCAAAGTTAATGGGGAAGCCAGATTCACTTAACAGCCGGGTTACTAATTTATCAACTGCAGTAATTCACTTAACAACTGTGGCAAGAAAGGGGCAAAGCTCCCTTAACAAATGTCTCACTTAACAACAGACATTTTGGGCTCAATTGTGGTTGTAAGTTGAGGACTATCTGTAGTTATAGGACATTTTTTAAAAAAAAGATCCATTTCAAAATATAATAATTTTTTCAAACGCTCTTAATATTACATGGTAATTCAACAATAAATCCACAAGAAACTGTATTTCTCAATATAAATGATATGGTTTTCAGTTTTAAACCCAGCAAAAAAAAAATCGCTTTCAAAAATCTTTTCACACATAGATCCAAATGCCCTTTTAAAAAGTTTATCCAACCGAATGAAATGCTAATGCCAGTACTGCTTGACTTACATTCATTTGTTTAACCACTGTTCAAAGTTACGACATTGAAAATGACATACAACTGATCCTCGCACTTATGACCATCACCACATCTATATGGTTGCAGGATCAACATTTGAGCGCTTGACAACTGGCATGTATTTACAATGGCCTCAGTCCCAGGGCCATGTGATTTCCAGTTGTAAACTTCCCAGCTGGCTTCCAACAAGTAAAGTCAATGGGAGAAGTCAGTTTTACTTAACAGCCGCATGAGTCATTTAATAAGTACAGTTATTTGTTTAACAATTGTGGCAGAAAATATTGTAAAATCTAACTCGTTTAACAACCAAGTTGCTTAGCAATGAAAATTCTAAGTCCCAATTATGGTCATAGGTCAAGGACTACCTGTACCATCTATGAATAAAGTAAGAAGAGTCGCAAGCAATTTCCTGTTGCAGTCTCTTTATAACCCTCTTTTATTAGCTCGCAGGGTTTGGAAAAACTATCTGCCTGCCATCAACGGCATTGTCTTTCTAGTGGACTGTGCGGATCATGAAAGATTGGCTGAAGCTAAGCAAGAACTTGATGTGAGTTTATATATATTTGGCACTTGCTAAAATCCAGATGAAAAGCCCAACATTGCGATGACTGCGGGGAAAGCAACAAAACTTTTATGATTAAACATTTGTGTGGATCTGTTGTGTCATTGCGGGAAAGACCAGTTACTATTATCATGTACTTTTCCTTAAATCTGGGTTAGTAAAGTCAGATCTATCAATAGTCACAAGCCAGGAGGTCCACAATTTGCCAATCAGAATTGTGTCCTTAGGTAGTTTGCTTCTCCCTATCAAAAAATGTATTTGATCAACAGAAGATGTTCAAGGACCATAATGTATATTCTATATCTAGGTTCTAGTGCAGTGGGTCCATGGAAATGTTTTACCATGGACCGGAGGGGACATGGTTTTGCGTGATGCCTGCATTTCGCGAATGGTGCTTTGCTTCTTTGCGTGGCCTGGTTGCTGGCATGCTGTGAACTGGTGCCAGTCCATGACCAGAGGTTGGGGACCCCTATTCTAGAGGAAGTTTCACCATGTTTCTTACATCATAGTATTACTGGAAAGTAATATGCAGTGCGAGATCAATTTTTCATCTCTTTGCAAGCCATTGTAGGAAATATCAAAGAGCATTATATTTTTCATAACATAAATAAATAGACTTTAAAAGAAATTATTTTCATTAAAATGAAATGAATATTTCTGGAAAAGAAATATTAGCAACAGTTCATCCCAATCCCCAAATCTTAATTGTGATTGCTAACTAGTCACCCTCTCATAATTTTAATATAGCTGCCACTTGTTATCATATACAAGTCATTATGTTATAATCAGAATGAAGTTAAAATGATAAAGATCACACAACCATATCAAATGAGTTAGTGAACCTTCAACACATCCATCTTAGAAAATCTGATGTCCAATATTGTCCATCCTTTCAAATAGTTTGGGGGGGGGGATGTCCAATGTACCCTGAATACAATATTTGATGAATAAACTTTAATCTTAGCTTGGTTAATACAATTCTAACATTTTAAGATAGAAATCCTTTGATAGGCCTTTATTATATATCATATTTGATCTTTATTTAATGTTATGAAGTAGAATCACATGGAAGAAAGCAGGAGTGAAATCCAGCAGGTTCTGACAGGTTCTGGAGAACAGGTAGCCGAAATTTTGAGCAGTTCCGAGAACCGGCAAATACCACCTCTGGCTGGCCCCAGAGTGGGGTGGGAATGGAGGTTTTACAGTATCCTTCCCCCAGGAGTGGGGAGGGAATGGGGATTTTGCAGTATCCTTCCCCTGCCACACCCACCAAGCCATACCCACAGAACCGGTAGCTCCACCACGCCTACCAAGCCACACCCACAGAACCAGTAGGAAAAATAAATGGATTTCACTACTGGAAGAAAGGTATTTTGTATACAGGGTATCTGACTTTTCCTTCTTATTTTAATGTTCAAGAGATCTGGCAGTTAGTTAGTATAGATACTTTTCAGTACCATTTCAGAAGGTCTTCAGATGTTTCTCCTTGTATTTGATGTCCTTCTATTTTGTACTGGTTGTATGAAACCTAAAATATTATACATTTCTTCCTTTCTTCTTAGGCATTAATGACAGATGAAACTATTGCTAACGTGCCTATCCTAATTCTTGGCAACAAGATTGACAGACCAGAAGCCATCAGTGAAGAGAGGTTACGAGAAATGTTTGGTTTGTACGGCCAGACAACAGGAAAGGTATGTGCCTTTTTCCATAACACTAAACTCTGGGATTCAGTGTGTTAGCCATATTTCTTTCCTCTGAGCTCTGCTTTACTTCTAGTTTGTCTAAAATTCTGTAACAATTCCATATTTCTGCAGAGTTTAATAATATTTCAGGAATCCAGTTGTAACAAGTTTGTTGGATTTTTTTTCTAATTCATTATCTAATTGTGTCATTTACAATAAAAGTAAACTTATCCTTTTTCCCCCCTTGTAAAACTACGTATTGCCTACCTAGAAAGTTAAGCCAAACTATTTCTGTCCAGGAATAGTTATACATAGAATATAGAATGTTCTTTAGTGGCCAAGTGTGGTTGGACAATAGATTAAAAAAAGCTACAAGAGTTAAAGGTGGTCAGCACTATCAAATAGTGCTGTTGGGCATTGTCTTCCTGTAAAGAAATCTCCATCAAGAATTCATGACTGAATCTGCACCCTCTTTTTTTATTTCCAGGGGAATGTCTCAGTGAAGGAATTGAACACTCGGCCCTTAGAAGTTTTCATGTGCAGTGTGTTGAAGAGACAAGGTTATGGGGAAGGATTTCGCTGGATGGCACAATACATTGATTAATGCCAAATTCACATTACTACACACTATCCAAACCTGTTCATGTTCTGATCAATTAGTGTACATAACTTGAACTTAATAGATTTTGGTTACAAAAGCGTATTTTTTTTATTGTATCAATTGTGTTAAATTTTAAGCGTAAAGACTGAAAACAGATTTTAAGCAAGTTTGTCAATTTGGATCTTGTAACATTAGTCTCTAGGCCTATCAAGCCACCTTCTTTTTGGATTAACTTATATGTTGTCTGCAGTTCTCACCCATTTTTGTTTTTAGCTTTCCCACACAGTATGTTTTTGAATGCACTTTTTAACAGCTCAACCCTACATGGTCCTATTTAATGCTCATCATGTTAAATTTTTAAGTATTTTTTTCAGAACCAATTTTATAAATGTAAAGTGAATAACGACTCCTCAACGGATAGTAATGAATAAGCTTTATGAATAATTGCATGATGCCTTACAGTTTTCAATAATATACTTTCTTATGCAACGTCATGCAATAAAACTAAATCCCATTTCGTGACATCTTTAATGGGGACATGTTTCATTTTAATGTGTTTTAACCTAGTAAATATGTTTTAAAATGTGAATCTGTGGGGTAGTTTTCTAAAATGCAGTATAATTTCCATGTACTGTAGACTTTTTATATTATTTATTTGATTACCTTTATGATGGGAATGAATCACACTAACGTTATCCATGCTTGTGGATGTAAATGTTCGGTCATTGTTTTTTACATTGTACAGAAAGGAGCACTACTGTATGGTCTCGTTGTGTAGTGCATCATGTAGTGCTAGTGGGTGCCTGAGTGCAGCTTTTAAGAAAACCATTGGGTTGGTACTGCAAATACACAATTAGAAGCCCGGCTCCTGTGTGAATTATGTTACTGGATTGAGTACGGTGTAATTTACCCACTGCTCTAAGCATTTGTCTTTCCTGTCAAAGCATTCATACAACCTGTCAAAGGTTACAAAAGGTGACTGCCATTCAAATGATATAGAGAACAGGTCAGTACTTTGTTGCCATCCTTGGCTACAGAGATGAAATTTTATTTTTTAATTTTCTCTTAACTACATATCTGTTAATAAAGTGAGAGTGGTCGTTCAGAGAAGGAGCTGTGTATCAGCTTCATGTTTTTTTTTTTTATTTAGCATTGCCACAAAGTTCCACATTTTGATTTTAAAAAAAACACACACACCAAGAATGGACTTAGGAAATGAAAAAATAGCCTTACAGCTATCAATCGTTCTAAGAATCTTAGTGTCCTTGCATGTAATTTCTTTAAATTGAGAAGCCAAGTGTTCAGATGGCATAGGGAGCCCTCTATGGATGCTGTTTGAAACTGCTTTCCTTTCCTTCTGCCTTCAGTCCAGATGCTGATTAAGATTCATATGCTAGATTTAAAAGTGAATGACGAGAAGGCCTCATGTACATTTGAGTTGTTAGACTGCCTTGTGTAAATCCCTGGAGGTAGGGTTTTTGAAGAACTATAATTATTTTTATTATATATACTTATTATCAGGAAATAAGCTTTTCACTGATGTGTACCCGTGTGCATTTTCAGAAAAACTGGAAATGAGAGCGTAAAGGACAAAGTTGATACGGTCACTGGTATCTTGCTGAGTTATAGTACAATACAGGTAGTCTTCAATTTATGACCATTCACTTAATAGACATTCAAAGGTACAGTGGCACTGAAAAAAGTAACTTACAACCAGATCTCGCAGTTACAACCCTTGTAGAGTTCCCATACTCACATGATCAAAATTCAGGCGTTTCTTAACCAGCATGTATTTACAATTGTTGCCATATCCTGGAGGTCACATGATTATTATTTAGGAGGCTTCTGACTAACAAAGTCAATGGGGGAAGCCAGATTTGCTTAAATACTATGGTGAGTCACTTAATGAACATGACAAAATATTTTTATATTTTGGGAAGATACTAAGCCCCTCCCCCCCCACACCAGATTAAACATTATAGTTCTGATAAAGGAGATCTTGACCATTAAACCAGTTTGTTTATACTGCCTGTAGCTCTCATTCTGCATGCTATTGATCTTCTCTTCTATAGCTTTGATCAAAGCAAGCATTTTAGTTTTTCTCCCCTTTCACTCAAAATGCTTTTAGAACCTGAAGACATATTTTTCAAGACATTTCATAAAAGTAGAGAGAACTAGCATATTGATTTTAGTTCTGCAAAGGAATTCGAAAAATGGTTTGCTCCTGCTGGTATCTGGAAAAATTATCTTCCTTGATTCTTCATTTTAAATGTGACACTTCCAGACCTATAAAAGAAGGGCAGAATAGAATAGAATAGAATAGAATAGAATAGAATAGAATAGAATAGATAGAATAGAATAGAATAGAATAGAATAGAATAGAGCAGAGCAGAGCAGAGCAAGAGCAGAGCAGAGCAGAGCAGAGCAGAGCAGAGCAGAGCAGAGCAGTTCTTCCAGTATTGAGCAGTTCTTCCAGTATTCCAGTTCTTCCAGTTCTTCCAGCAGTTCTTCCAGTATTGATCTTGTGTAGCCATCTCAATCTTTTTGTTACCCTGTTGGTGTTAATGTAGGACTTGAGTTCATACAGTTTATTTTAATGTGTGCTTGTGTTTTCATGTGTTCCTGTAAGGAAGCCTTTTCCTAGAGCAAAATAATGTGTGGATAAAGGCTTTTGGATACAACATAAAATACATTTATAGAATGGTTAGTCAACACTATTAATTGGATCTCTCCTCTGCCGTAGTGAATCTGGCAAGTTTTCCAATTCTACATTTTTTCATTCATCCTTGTCAGATTTTATTTTTATTTTAATATTTATAATGGTTATCTCTTAAATAAAAAAGGTGCAAAACAGTGAAAATCACTTTGCCGCTGGATCAGATATTATAGCAATTTGTCTTCCAAATACAAAATTGTAAATAACAACTGTTTATTTCTCACTTTTTGCTCTGGAACGCAATCACTGCTGTTGCCTTTGGAAGACTTTCAAAGTTAAGTGGATACTTGCTGTATAATGTGGCAAGCCAATACAGCAACTCAAGATGGCCAACCACTAACCAAACTGACATGGAGTGGAAGGTTTGCTATCTTGCAGTGGTAAAAGAAACTAGAGGTAGTAATTGACTTATGACCATAACTGGGAACAGAATTTCTGTTACTAAACGAGACAATTGTTAAGTAGGTCACACCCAATTTTGCTACCATTTTTGCCATGGCTATTAAGCAATACACTGCAGTTATTAAGTAAATCATGGGGTCGTTAAATAATCCAACTTCCTGACTGACCGCTTATATGACTGGTCACAAATGACAATCAACCCCAGGTTGCTGCAAGTTTCATAAATACAAGCTGGTTGCCAAGCACCCACATTTTGATTATGTGACTGGGGATGCTGCAATAAGTGTGAGGACTGGTTGTAATTTACTTTTTTCAGTGCCGTTGTAACTTTGATTGTTAAATGAATGATTGTAAATTGAGAACTACCTGTACTTCACCAAACACATTACTGATGTGACAGGAATGCCCTACTGGTCTTCTTAACATAAATAATGGGGAAGAGGCACTATATGTTAAGAATTCTAAATGAAAATGCTGATACTTTCAGGAAAACAGTTTAGTATGTGAAAAACGTGCTTATTGTTTGTTTCTCATCCCATTTTTCAGAGCTGCTTAAGACAAGAGAAACTTTTTTATAGAGAGAGATTCTTCTCCTTAAAGGAAACTGCATGAATTCCACACACAGTGAAGTCATATGCAATCAGGACAAGCATCATTGTTCTGGTTTATGAAATAAACGCATTCTTCATCATCAGAATTCATACAGTTTCTTGCATTAGGCTTTGTGTAGAAGTAATTTAAGTTGCAGTTTAAACATCTTATTATGTTTCAGGCATGTGCATAATGGCAATCTTTTTCTATTTTAATCCCCTCTGCTAGAGTAGTGTATCAGTATTTACCAAAAAGGAAATAGATACAAATATACAAAATGACTTTTTCTATGACTTAAATGGGAATTGCTTCTGTGATATGAAGAAATCCTCCCCTCCCCTTCCCACTTCTTTCAACATGGAACAATTTCAGTCAATTTAAAAGTTATGTATTTAATTTCAGGAAATAGTTCCCAAAATTGTTCAGTCGTTAATTCTGTGTGTGCGTGTGTGCAGCAATGTTTCCCCCACTGAGGGGGTGGCTTGTTAAATAGCTTTCATTTAAAGGACAGCAACCGTGTGCCGAAAAAATAAAATTAACTAATAAAATGCTCATATGAAATATGCCTAACTTAGTATGTATTACTAGAATTTCATCTTTCCCTTGCTTGCCAGAACTTGTTTTTTGAGACAAAACAAAAAGCATGGTGCAATTATTGATTTAAATTTAAATTTTGATTGCAGCATACTGTGGTATTTAATTATGCCCTAATACCAGCCTTGCATCTAGATGTACTAGGGCAGAAAATAACTGGCTGGCAAAAGATTACACATATTTGATCCTTATCTTTAAAAATCAGGCATATATGCATTATCACTTATTTGTGTGTCAACTCTAAATGTCCATACGAAGTTCAAGAAAGGTGAACCCAAGTCTTTTGGCAATCTTTGGCATAGACAGAATCACTTTGGACAAAAGGGAGGGCTTCAAGCTGCCCTGTTCAAGCCTTGCGATTTTCAAAAGCAGTAAAAACGTGTTCAAATGCTAGGGAAAAGCTTAGCCTGTTTACCCTTTATTTTAAGACTATGAAGCTGATATCTCTCCATGTGACAGTAGCGTCAGATCTATTTAGAGGATTGTAAACATGAAATCGTCCAGAGAGATTTATTTGATTCCTGACCTGACCTTATGCAACTGTTACAGAGACTGACTTCTACAAAGACGTGACAAGCTATGGGATAGCAGCATCTCAACCCCCAAGAATAAGCTGCCAACCTTCCTCTGATCTACTTTGCTGTATTTTTTTTTACTGTCAAGACTTTTGAGATTGACAATACATGCACTTCCAATTTAAATGGACAAGAATCCAGGCTAAAGAGCAGCATTCCTAAAAAAGGACAAAGTTGGCCTTTTTCCAGAATTTTTCTTTTCTTAACCCATATAGTTAAGGTATATCCATCTATCCCACAAACTCCAACACTCCTTCAACTAAGCATAACAGTAGCTTTGCAAGATCAAGCCAAAGTCTTCTTTAATCCAGTATTTTGCTTTTCATAGCTATCAACCAGAGGTCCCAAGGCTCACAGGCATCAATTGCAACTATGCATTCCCAGCTGTTTTTTTTTTTCTCTGCAACTAGAGTTAGGGGTCACATAAAGTCTTCAAGGCAAATAGCCTTTCAGAAGTCATGACGACCACAAATTTATTCATCACCTTTTAAAGCCACCTAAGTTAATGGCCATCACCATGTCCTGTGGTAATAAATTCTATATACTGTATTATCTCTTGTATCAAGAAGTATTTTCTTTTCTGTATTCTAGATCTTCTAGAACATTTATTTAATATTCCGTGGTTTTAAATTTCTGAGAGAAAGGAAAGAAACTTCATGCTCACTTTGTGCAACTTAGGCATGGTTTTGTATACCTTGATATTTTCATCTAGTCATCTTTTATCCGAGTTAAAGAATTTCAAACATTTCTATCTTCTCATATTAAAGGTATTTGAGCCCTCTGATCATTTTAGTTGTTCCGTTATGCTTTTTTCCTCAGATCTTCCTTTTTCAAAGATTTCTAATAATCCTTAGTATAGAATTGGTTATATATATATATATAATGCCGGCCACATGACCATGGAGACATCTTCGGACAGCACTGGCTCTTCGGCTTTGAAATGGAGATGAGCACCGCCCCCTAGAGTCGGGAACGATTAGCACATATGTGCGAGGGGAACCTTTACCTTTTATATATTTCTCAGAATAAAAGACATATAAAAAAATATAAAGGAAAAAGGAAAGAAAGAAAAAATAAGGAAATACAAGAAACAAAAAAGAGAAAAAAATAAAGTTAAGAAATACATGAATGACTTCCAATCTTTCCAGCAGATAATTATAAACTTATTGTTCCTCCTTCCCCTTAGATATAGCACAAATCCCTTTAGCGCTTTATTTAATCCACATCTTACTCTTCAAATATATAAATCTTTTTTTTTCCTTTCAGCATATAATGTTTCTAGTTTTTCAGAAAAGTTTTGATTGTTTTTTTCTCTGACCAAATAGATCACTTTTGCCATTTCTGCCAATTCTGACATTTTTGCAATCCATTCCTTCACTGTGGAGATTTTATTATTCTTCCATAGTTGTACATCTTAGTATAGAATTTGTTTGACTTACAGCTTTTGCATACTAAGTCAACATCTTCACTGAGGGATCCCCCATAACTCTTAAGATATTTTTATTATTATTAATTCTAGACAGCGCAGAGCCCCATCAGCTTTGTTTATCTCATTATGCATCACTTTAGACTTTCTTAAACAACCTCATTTGCATTTTTTTAATACTCACCCAGTTTACAGAGATCTTTTTGGAGCCCCTTGACTTTTGGTTTTTCAAAAGTAAACAGTTGTATGCAATCTATAACCATGGCCACCTGTTAACCTTTTGGTTAGGATCATTTATTTATATGTATTAAAAAGCATTTTGCCCAACACAAATGACAGAATCTGCTTCCTTCCTCTTTCCACTGAAAAAGAAATCTTTTATTCCTGCTACCTGTCAACAAATTAGCAATCCATGAAATGATAGATCCTGGGGCATAATTTCAGTTGGCAAGTTCCATTGGAGGAAGGCTCTGAAGATGACAAATATAATAGACCAATTTATCTAGACACTAACACTTTTCCCCCCAATTCTAGACAGGTCTTGCTTTCAATGCCATAATTCTCTATGGAAACCATTCTGGGGTGAAGAGGCCAAGATTTTGAAAGTGGCATTTTGCAAATGGTATTGTCAAGCCACTAAAAAAGGGAACCTTAATACTATACTGTATGAATTCAATCTGAACATAACAGTGAAAAATACCCTTTTAGTGATATGATTTTCATTGTAAAGTATCGAGTTCTAAGTGACAAGTCTCTTAGCCTGTGCAATGGCAAGGAATTGTCATTGTACATACCCCATGTCAAAATGTCAAAATGTATTCAAACAAATTAAAATGCAAGGCATCTGGATCAGATGTCTTAAAGCTAATGGCATCCTAAACCATAAAGCTTTCCAGGGCTTTCTAGTAACATAAGCTATTCTTGTCATGAAACCTTGTCTTGAAATTGGAGATCAACAGACAGAAATTAATCTGTGAATAAGTTTTCCCTTCAGAATAATAGTTCATTAACGTATGTACTGTACACACACCCAATAAAATATGTCTGCTAGCTTGAAAAAGGATGAACAAAAGAGGTACGGGCTAGTTTTGATCTTCTGAAATTCTAGTTGGCAGAATATAGCTAAGTTCAGAATCAGATGTAAGGAACCTCTGTACAAACATTTCCCCCTTTTTAAACTACCCTGCAATCCCTTAATTTGGGGTAGAGTTGGGGCGACTGGATGGAGCTGAACATTTACTGGACAGATGCCCTTCCTGATGTCGACATGGAGTTTGCAGCAGATATTTGTTCTTTGAACCCCAGGAGAGAAACATCTGCCCCTATTTAGGATTGAACTCTAACCTGAAAGGGAGCTGAGTGTTACCACAACGTCATTCAAAATCTCTGTGCTGTTGAAGAAATATCCTTCTGGGTTCTGCTCCAAGTGGGGAAAAAGACACTGGAAACATGGACACTGCTTGGAAAGATGGTTTAATGGTGGACAGGATCACATGGCTTGAGTTCCTGAACAGAAAAAGGGCAGATACAGCGAGTTTCGGGTTTTATGCTTTCTCTGGCTTTGAACTTCCTGGGGCCCAGAAAGAGTATCCTGATTGGTTGTCAGACTTCCAGGGGGTGGGGGTCTTAGTTAGCCTTGCTGGCTGATGTAATCTTCCCAGATGCCATGTTGTAAGTTTCTGTTTAGATGGGTCCCATTGTGTTAGTTTCTGTTGCTATTGTGTTGCAAATGTCCTTTGACAAAGGATTGGGTTTCTGCCTCTGGCCCATTAACAAAGGGTGGGGGGCAGGAAGGTGGGAGCTGCTTTGTCTTTAAAACATGTTTCTCCATTTCTCATCCAGGGAAATATAATATTCTGCCTTTTTAATATTTCCTAAAATATTTCATTCTTCTAGGAAAGGGATGGGTGCTAACTTCCTACAGTACAAACATCAAAAGGCAGGAAACAGGAACAGGAAGGATGAGAACAGTCATTGCTGATATCAATGCAATGTTGTTTTATTAAAATAATCAATAAAAAACCCCGGTAAATATTTCATTTACTGTGTTGCACAGAATTCTAGCAGGTGGCTTGCTTCTAAAAAAGGCATCTAGATCTTGCAAGCAGTTACTTGTGCAAAAAGTACTTATTGATTTAGCAAAGCATTTTAAAGAGGTAGGTTAACGTAACATAATTAACATAAGCCTGACCATAGATGGGCATGCACATACTGTGTGCGTGTGTGTGTGTACACTTTCACACGCACATAGGAGTTTAATTATTAAGAAGCATCCATGCATTGGAGATTTGTGCTTCTGGATCTAATCTCCAACAATAGACAAATGGACCAAGAGGGATGAAAAAAAAGGACGATTTAAGGATGATATCATTCAGACAGATGTTCCATGGTATTACTACATACATTGGATATTAGACTTCCATCTGGAAGAACCTAAAGCAAAATGCAGGTGTCACAGTTTCAACATTCGCAAACAGTTTTTCCCACTTTTTTCTTTTGCTCTTTCTTAAACTATCTTCTGATTAAACATTTCTTTTTTTTAATATTTGATTTGAACTTGGATTTGGCACCTCTTCTGTGATCTTAAGATGTGGCATTACTATAGTAAAGTTTCGGAACTAAGAAAAACAATCATCATCCACCTGCAGTTAGGGAAAGATATAGAGAGTATAAGATAATGGAAATTTCCTGAATCTTTCAGAAATTAAATAATCCTGATGACATGACTGTGTCCCTCTGAAAAGGACCCCCATAAATTATGGGGGCTGAGGGTTAGACTTGAAGTCCTCCAAAGTCCCTTCCAACTGTTATTTTGTTAAACTTGTTCTCACATCTCTAAAGCTAGCTTTAATCCTTTGGAAGTAACTGTTACATTCTATTTCATGATATTCTGTTTTATGTATCTGTTGAAATTCAGGAATAGTTCAGGTATACATGAAGTGAAATGAATCCCAATATCTTGTGAC